CATTGCTGTTCTGTTGTAAGTAATCTTAAAGATTCCTAAATGCATCTACTTTCGGAAGGCCAAATAAAGTGCTTTTGCTTTCGCCTAGAAACACACCGTCTCCCTGACATGGCTGCTTCAACACTAACTGCGGTTACTGAAACCACGCCTTCTTTCTTTGCGTGCACATTTGGGCGGCATTACGCTAATATTTCCACATAGTGAGGTAGATATGTGGGTGCGTGTTAGAACGAGCCGTTTTAGGGGGGCGTGGCAGAGTCTTAACTTTGATAAAGAATATCTCTTTGGTTTTGAGACTTTAGTCTTTGCAACTTCAGGGATCTTATCTATGCACAATCAGCTTGTAACACTCCAAAGAGAAAGGAAAACTTGAAATCGCATCATATGACCCCTTTAATGTCTGCACTAAAAGTATAACAGGTGTTTTTCTGTTATTATTTGCATAACAATTTCTCATAGTTTTATCCTGTCATCTAAAAACACTTGTGTCATGCACACTTTAACTTGAATGACACACGGTGAGTTGAATTTGTGTAGTGGGAACAGTTTCCAGAGAACTAAAATCGTAGTGTTTATTTCCAGTAAACAACAAGATATGAAGATTGATAGCGCTGAATGCAAAATAAATCTGACCGAGATTTGATTATCCCTCATTCCTCATGTTTCCAACCTTCTTTTTTCTTGAAGCATTATTATTAATGCAGACTAAAAGCCAATACACGAAGACAGTACTAACACTTTTAGTGAAGACCACCTGAACACAACATTCTACATCCAAATAATCCTCCATCTAAAAACACCTCCAAAAAGCCATCTACTTGTGCCATAGCAACTCCATATACATTTGCTACTCATAGAGAACCAGCATAAGGAACAAACAGCTTCGCAAATAAGCAAGCATCCATACATAAAATGTAAATGACTGCTATTACCTGGCAGAGCGGGCTCCAATACTGAAACCCATGTACCCCTCCTGTGGCAAGGAGTCATCCCCTAACTCCCTCAGGTCCTGTGGCCGAAGATACTTCTCAGTCTCGCCGGTCATCGCATCTTCACCTGCAGGAATGAGACAGGCCGAAGGTTAGCTCACTTGAAGGTGAACTGGTAAGGTGACCTATCAGTAGCTGCGGCAATTATTTCCCCCCACGTTGCTCTAATTAAATAAACCCCAAAGTGACTTACTTCAGAGCAATCTGAAGTTAAGTGTCTTGTTCAAATGCACAGTGGTAATAAATTGTGGTTCATTTCTTGTGGGGTGAACCTACCAGTCCACACCGGTCTTCTTGCGTCACGCAAACATCCAGCTTGCAGCTTCTAGATTATTAATTGATGTCACGTAACACCTGGGTGTTTTTCTGTCCCACCGTGAATAACAGATACTTAGGGGCAATATTTCACTGACTATTAATAGAAGAAACATTATGCTGCATCAGGACACCACACCACTGCGTCTCCTGCTATGAAGCAAGTTTCCATTACACCCCCAAGAGTTTCTTAAACCTGATAAAAAAAAAATAATAATAAAAAAAGCAGCTACAACCAGCAAAGGCTGGTTTTACTAGTGTCTCAGCATGGTCTGTTTGCTAGTTTTAGAAGGGTCCGGGGGAACTTTCATGCAGGTCAAACTGGGACTTCAGCTTAAACCAGGTAAGACCAGTAACGTTAAATTATCTTAGGCTGGCATTCTTATGTTCTTTAAGCTGTTTTTAAAAGCAGGGAAAATTTGAAATAATATATATCAATTTAATCTCAGAAATTACATTTTCAAATAACACTTTCACAAATATGATAACCTGTATCTGATTTTATTGTTTTATGAAAACAAACAAACCGTTTGAATCAATCTATAAGACTGTTTGCTGGTCCGTTGACTAGTTTTAAGTGGGTTTTGGGCACTTTTCAGATGGTCCGATAAGCTTGACGACCTGTTTAAATCTGCACAACAGTTTTGTATAGTTTAATAAAATGTTCAAGTCTATACCGCACAAAATGACGTTTATGAAGGCAACTCTCGAGGATTTGAGACACAGCCAACATCTTTTCCGAATCTCTCTCATAAACGCGACTTTTGCTTGTCCTCTCTCTCCGTGCTGCAGCCCCTCCCCTCTCGCAACTGAACTCCTCCGTTTCCCTAACCGGCTCGCTAATACCTTCCTACTCCGGTACCGAATTAACGCTTAATGACAACGAACAGTCATGACAACGACTAATAGATGACCATGTGTAAAAATAGATGGCACTGTATTTGACGTCATTCTGAGTTTTAAAAGTGTACATTTAAATAATAATTAAATAATCCGAGCAGCATCCAGCCGGTGAACACTGTATGCAGCAGAGCCCCAAACACCGCAGTATTCTGACACACCGACAGTCCATATCAACACTCACATAATAGCGCTGCCATATCCCACTTCGATACAGATATAACGTATCCTTTATTAGCGTATTCCTCCGATTATCTGTTCAGTTCTCAATGAAGCTTGTATCCTCCGAGAAAAAGACTGATGATGAGGACTCAATTCGGGTTGGTCATGTGAGAGTCGGTCGTCCCGAGTCGACCAGAACTCTCGTGGCACTGGATGTGCGAGATTTACATCCGTTCATTAGCTCGGTAAAAGTTAAATCACAAGGCAGCCTCGGTCATGCGAAGGAGGATCTACCAAAGCTGCACTCTCTTATGTCAGGCGAGCTCTGCTCTCTATCCAGCCTCGCGCCTGCGCGCGCAGAAACAGGCCAGTGTGTGTGTGTGTGTGTGTGTGTGTGTGTGTTGCTAAATATTTTGCAGGTCTAGCAGCAAGTGCAAGGTGGTAATAAGACACCAAGTACTGTCAACATAGTTCTCTCAAGAGAATAATAAAGGGAGACAGTGCAAGCACTTCTCTAACGTGTGTGTGCTGGTTTGGCTGTACTTCTGAGGGTATGTCCTCACAAATGTAAAGAAACCTGTTGAAAACTTACTTTTTGAAGTGGTCCTCACTGTTCGAAATGCTTACATCACTAGTATAGATAGCATTAAAGTCATCACAAGTGTGTGTACATGAAAATTATTTTATCAGCTAATGTCAAGGTCTCCTGTCCACTGTGTGTAGAACATTCATGAGACTCATTACAAAGTGCTAAAGAACATTACATAACAGTAAGAAAATTCACCCTTTTCTCTCAAGTAGCCTACTGTCCCTACAGTGCACACACACAACATCTCCTTTTAATGTGTGTAATTTGCTAAATAATGTGCTCTTGGGCACGTGTGGGACGCATCAGGGTTTGCTATTAAATACATGAAATATCCCCATTATGATATTAAACTGACCTACACTGTGATAAAAATGATAAAATAATGAAAACAGCTTAATAAAGAGATTAAATACAGGGTTCCCACAGCCTCGGAAAATGTCAGGGAATTTTAAAAGTGTGATTTCCAGGTCTGGACTATTCATGTAAAAACAAAATGAAAAAAAAAAAAAATGTAAAACACACATACACACATTAAACAAAAATAAAAAATAGGTTATCTATAGTCAATAAATGTTATATTAATGACAATACAATTATATTGACAATTTAAAAAGCTAAGCTTTTGAATAACAACGATGATTTTATTTAAAAGTGATTTAAAAACTGCTTTTATTAATTCATAATTTAAAAAATACTCTTTTTGAGAATGATCTCTAAAAAATTTAATTATTTTAAATGATCCCTATCCAGTCATCACAAGCAACTGGTAAAATAATGGAAAAATCATGGAAATTCATTGGTTGATAGATTAAAAGAAAATTAGAAATGTTGCTTTGGAAAATAACTGAAATAAGTATATGGTAAAGTACTAAAAATGACTAATTAGTTTATAAAACTAAACTAACACTAAAACTGAAATAAAGATAAATAGTAATATTTTAAAACAACAAAAGCTAATAAACCAACAAAAATTAACCTAAAATGAATATTAAAACTGAAAACAAAATAAATGCTAATTCAAAATATTAATAAAAACTATAATATATAAATAATAATAAAATAACTCTAGTTAGAAAATGTAGGAACCCTGTACATGTAATCATCTTAATTAAAATCTACAAATGCAAAATGTTTCTGTAAGGAAGGACTAGGTTTAGGGTATAGCAAATATAATAAGCCTATATAAAAAATAGACGCTAGTAGTCAGTCTCACTCTCCACCATAATATGACAACAAACAGATGTGCATGAGTTAAAAATCAGATTGGGGATCAAAGGTGCAGAGTTCAATGTTTTTGACTGACATAAGACCTACATGCACAGCTTAATGGGATTACAAAGATAACTTACAGGATAGCCTATGGATCTATTATAGGTGTCTGCTGCTATATGCACACACATGCACTAATGCACACTTTACCTCTCAGCTTACTGCTAAGACAGCAGTTTCAACACTCGACTTCTGCATTTTACTGCTTTATTATATTTGAAGATTGTCTCTCTATCCCTCTCTATTTTGCATGTCTCTTTCGCTCTCCAGTAGAGGGTTGACACCTGTGGGCCAAGTCAGTGTCACCTGCAGGATTGTGAGCATATCTGCTGACACACATGGTAACCGTATACCCTCATCCCTCCACGTTACCATGGAGAGGGGTGCAATGAGGGACATTAAGCTCATGAATATTTCAATGTTGCACCAGGAGACAAGAGAGAGAGTTTGGCGTTATAGACAACACGTGGAGTGTTTTCTTCTCATCCTGACACACTGCACGTCAGCTTCGCTGTATCTTAGGCAACTGTATGAGTCTCATACAGGCTTTTTTGGGCATCTGTTATTGTGTTTCTATGTGTGAGCATTTGTAAATATGTGTTTATAACTAAAAAACTGTGTAAGTGTCAAGTTGGCATACACAGGAATTCACAGCAATCACACTCTGGTTATGTGCATACAGACAAAACACACACAGCGCACTGCAAAGCCAGGCGAGAGGAACACATCTAAGCCGAGCGAGTGTGTGCGTGAAGCGAGGGATGATTAAAAAAGGGAGAAAAATCAGAACTGCAGAAGTGTGTACCTTCTTCCCCATCCGCCTGAGCGTCATGATCTTTCACAGCTGTCAAACATACAGTACACAGCAATTGGTTAAACATACACGCTCTCTCTCTCTCACACACACACACACACACAGAATAATGAATGCACATAGTGTTAGGCCAGTGATCATGGTGCAAGCTAGTGGGGAAGCTGTCAAAATAACTACATTTGAATATACCGCTGGATGCAAGACAAATTTAAATAATATTTTAACAACTGCCTCACTGACTCAGTGTGCAAAGGGTCACAGCAGAGAGTTCTGTAAAGAGTTTTTCACAGCAGTATAAACCAATATAGTTCACAAAGAAAGAGTGAAACTGTCAGTCTATCTATATATAAAAATATTCCATTCAAATTCTATAATGTGTGATGTCGTAATAACAAATGTCTAACTTGGAAGTAGCAGCTTTGCAGAAACACTGGAAGGTGGTTAAATCAAAAAAAATTGTATTGTATTGTATTGTATTTGTTTGTTTGTTTGTTTCCAACCCAAATCTGCTATGTTGAAAAACACTTCACAGTAAGGTTTCATTTCTTAAGATGAGTTAACTACATTGTTTAAAATTAACTAAACAATAACTTCTAACAATAAACAATACTTCTAAAGCATTTACTAATCTTAGTTAATGTTAATTTCAACGTTAACTAATAAATTATTAAATAAAAAAAAGTTGAATAGACTTTAGCTAACAATGTAAATTATATTTACTATTTATATTTATATTATTTTAAATGCTACAAGTGAATTTAGGCATCACAACATTATAAGGTACAGTATGAAATATTCATTTACAGATGTATTAAAGATCACAACACTGTTTTTAAAGATTAACTTTAAGTGAGTGTTACAAGATGGCAAAGGTAATCTAAATAGAAAAATAAATATATAAAAGAAATGAGCATGAATGATTAAATATCCAATATTGGTTGAAATGTACAGTTTTTCCAATAGTCTATTTAAAGTGTAATTAAAAAAAAACAGAACATGGCTCACAGTTTTAAACTGAAAATATGAAATAACGTAAGAATTCAATTCTTTGCTCAGAAGTGATTAGCATGATGTGGCTGGTTGGTGTGCATTTGATTCAGAATGCAAATTGCCTAAAAAACAAATCGCCTGGTATTCATTTCTATGGTAATTGTGGACATTGAGGGTAGAGGATGTTGAGGGAAGTAGGTCATGACGCAGATGGTGGGGCAGGTTGAGTATGTTACCGTGGCAGTGAGGTTTTCATCTGTAACTCCTCTCAGCGTGTCCACTACGGAGATGTACCCCAGTCGGCGAGCAATGGAGAGAGCTGTGTTCCCATTCTGCCACACACAAACATAAGGCATTTCATATGAACTATTATAAATACATAACTTGCTAAATGTAGGTATTATAAGTATAAAAGAGTTAGATGTGTGTTTATGTGAAAGGTACACTACTGTAAATGTCACTTCTGATTCATTTAGTGCATCTTTGATAAATAAAAGTAATTTCTTTAATTTAAAAAAATCATACTCACCCCAAACTTTTGAATGGTAGTGTATGAGTGTATATGTGTGTGTGCTACTGTACATTGCTGACCAAGGTTGACAGCTTGCTGAGTGAAGCAGGTATTCCCAGCATGCCTCAGTACTCACCATTGTGAGCTCATTGGGCGAAGCTCCATACTGAAGCAGCATATTAATGATGTGGGTGTGGCCTTGCTGTGCTGCTTGATGAAGAGGCGTGTAACCGTTCTATCCACAGAATAACAGTGTCAATTTACATGCAAAACAAGGTAATATCTATATCTAAATGTCTTGACAAGCGACAAAGAGACTCACCTTTGTTTTGGCATTAGGCTTGGCCTGATTCTCTAACAGGAAGTTGGCTATCTTCATGTTGCCATAGTGACATGCCACATGCAACGGAGTGTAACCACTCTATCAGGAGAATATGAAAGACGAGAATTTCAGACACTGATACAGACACGCAGTACAGTCCACAATGAACCTCTCAATGTATCAGTCTGATTGTGGTGGTTAATCAATGGAACCTGAACCCTGACCTTGGTTTGAGCGTCAATTTCTGCTCCATGGTTCAACAGCACTTCAGCAACACCTGCCCTGTCATCCTGTGCAGCCAGGTGCAGCGGCGTGAGACCATTCTGATTATAAACACACACAGTGAGTCAAATTAATACGTATTCTCAACCGTGTGCATGTGTAATATGCATATGTAAGTATGTTTACCTTATTGCCCATATTAACATTAGCCTGTTTGGTGAGAAGCAAGGACACGAGGTCTACACTGCCCTCCTGTGCGGCGAGGTGGAGGGGGCTGATGCCCTGACGGGTCACTGTGTTACACTCCGCCCCATATTCCAACAACGTTGTCCCAATCTCCAACTGATTCTTCTTAGCTGCAATATGGAGAGGCGTGTAGCCATTCTAAAGAGAATGAGAAAAACAAGATGCAAAGACACAGAAATTTTTAAATAGAAATACTATGCAGGCATGCAATCATCTTTTCTTGTTTTTTCCCCAAGTACTTTTCTTGATTACACAAACCAATCAGGATTTCTCAAATTTAGCAAAACAGACTGTAAGAAGTAACCAAGCTCTTAATTCCTCTCAAATTCCAAGCCTGTTACCATGGTGACTACTTTAACATTACTCTAGATACCCCAACTCTGGGAAAATGCAAGCCATGAAATTTGGATCTGCAAAAATCATATAATTATTTAATCTATATTTTTGTATCGTTTACCAAAAAAATATCTAAAAATGCTATAAACAAGATAAATTTACCTGAGAAAATACTTTTTTCTTTGAGCAGTAATCAAACATGCAAATGGTGATGGAAAAAAATATGAGATTGAAGGAAAAATTATATTTCAATGCTTTTGCATTTGCTCTACATCATTCTATCTAAATAAAGGCAAAATCATTGGGAAAAAAATATTTAAAAAAGAATAAACAACTTTTGCAAGCTAATGCAAAAGCATTGAAATATATATATTTTTCTCCAATCACATTTTTTCCATCACCATGTCCCTGTAGGGGCTCCAAACAAAATTTAGTGATATTTGCTTAAAACAAAAATAAACTATTTGAAAATGAAAAGAAAAACAAACTTAATGCAAGATATATTCTTTGACAATTTTGTTTCTCAGGTAACATTTTCTTGGTTTTTTTAATACATTTGTTTCAGCTATACGTTTACTAGACCACAGTTTAGTTTCGTTTAATTTACTTATAGAGTTTATCAGATTTCCTGCAATTTAACAAACTTTTCAGCTAGAGACTTTATGAAATCCTCCACAGATGTAATTTGAACATGACAACAAAGTCACAAACATTGTGACTCTTGAGATATGATTTATGTAAGGTCACTAATTGTTACACTAGGTCTTCTATGACAAACAGCATGGAAGGGTTAATCCAGAAACCCAGTCTCGATAAGTTGGAGTGTGTGTGTGTACCTTCGCAGCAGAATGAGGAGATGCTCCCTGGTCCAGTAGAAACAGAGCCACTCTCTGATTATCATAGTGAGCAGGCACATGCAGCGGAGTTAACCCAGTCTACAATATACACACAGACCCCAGCACGTTCACACAAGCAGACCCCAGCACAATCACAAACACCAACATGCACGCACACATACACACAAACACAGGATGCATGCATGTATGCCAGCACATACAGTACATGGGTGTGCACATGGTTGGGTGCACACACACACACACACACACACACACACACACACACACACACACACACACACACACACACACACAGACACATCATGTTAAAGTTAGAGGGAATAACTCCCAGCAAACCACATTAAGCTAGTACCATGAGTTCACACTTAGTATGAAGCGAAAAAACACCTTTCACAAGATGAGTGTGTCTTTCCTTAACACAGATTAAAGGAATAGCTCACCCAAAAATGTGAAAATTTACTCACCCTCAGATCATCCCAGATTTAGATGAGTTTGTTTCATCATTGGAACAAATTTTGAAAATTTTAGCATTACATCACTTGCTCACCAATAGATAATCTGCAGTGAATGGGTGCCGTCAGAGGCCAAACAGCTGATAAAACATCACAATAATCCACATGACTCCAGTCCTTCAATTAATGTCTTGTTAAGCAAAAAAGCTGCATGTTTGTTAAGTAACAAATCCATCAAGACATTTTAACTTGAGACCGTCGCTTCTGGTCAAAATATGAGTCCATAATCCATAATAACTTATATTTTAATCATAAGCAATGGTTTGAAGTTAAAAATGCCTTGACAAAGATATGAAACACAACATGAAGCTTTTCGTGTCACGAGACATTAATTGACGGGCTGGAGTTGTGTGGATTACTGTGTTTTTTCAGCTGTTTGGACTCTCATTCTGACGGCACCCATTCACTGCAGAGGATCCATTGGTGAGCAAGTGATGTAAAGTTACATTTCTCCAAATCTTTTCCAATGAAACAAACTCATCTACATCTTGGACTTCCTGAGGGTAAGTACATTTTCAGCAAAAATTTAGTTTTTGGTTAACCCACTCCTTTAAGCTTCTGTGTCATATTTTCTTATCTGTATTGTTGTACTTATTAAAAAGCTTAATCTATGTTAAGGAAACCAGACCCCTCATGACAGCACAGCTGACTTAATGACACACAGGAAAATCAGCAAAACTGGTCAGCTCTGTGAGTCTCTCAATAAAGCTAGTTGACAGTCATACTATGTAATGCAAGAATAGTGAAGAAAGGTTGACACAGATGAACAGATGACGACAAATGAAGGCCCTGTCCCAAATGACGCCCTTGGCCCTTGTGGTTTAAGGCGTCACAGTTTGGCTGGTTAGCTTGGCCCAGTTAGACCCTGCTGGTCGATGTTGTAACTACACCATCTGGCTACAAAAATCAGGCTTCTTCATTAAAGGCAATTCAAAAATAGCCATGTTCTTTGACTATTTTTTGTAAGTACTTTAAACAAATATTTCATTACATTAGAGTAAATGTTTGACCAATGCCCTATTTTTTCTGACTTTTGAGGACAAATGGGACACCCCATGAACAAGCATGAGTGAAGTCCACATCAGCATTTGGGACAGGACTAAGATGTGTTATGTAAACAAACGTAAACTGCCATGCATATATGGGCATATTTGTAGATGTGCTTGTGCATGTTGTTGTGTGCATAATGTTGCATGATGGATTTGTTTACCAACCTTTCCTGCTGCATCCGGCGCGGCTTTTTTCTGCAGCAGAAGATTGGCCACTTCCAACTGCCCATACTTTGCAGCCACATGCAGGGGAGTGAACCCTTTCTGTGGACGTATATGCGGGAACAAAAGAAGGAGAGAGAACAAAAAAGGGTGAAAAAGATCCATAATTTTGTTATTTTCATTAGGACATAGTCAGCTTAAAGGATAAAGAACTATGCACAAAAACCACATATAGTGGGGGCCAGAAAATGTTTTTGACAGAAGTCTCTAATGTTCACTTTGTCTCTTTATTTATTTAATCAAAAAAGCAGCCATTACTCCAGTCTTCAGTGTCACATGATCCGTCAGAAATCATTATAATATGCTGATTTGGTGCTCAAAAAACATTTCTTATTATTATCCAAACAGCTGATAAAACATCACAATAATCCACATGACTCCAGTCCTTCAATTAATGTCTTGTTAAGCAAAAAAGCTGCATGTTTGTTAAGTAACAAATCCATCAAGACATTTTAACTTGAGACCGTCGCTTCTGGTCAAAATATGAGTCCATAATCCATAATAACTTATATTTTAATCATAAGCAATGGTTTGAAGTTAAAAATGCCTTGACAAAGATATGAAACACAACATGAAGCTTTTCGTGTCACGAGACATTAATTGACGGGCTGGAGTTGTGTGGATTACTGTGTTTTTTCAGCTGTTTGGACTCTCATTCTGACGGCACCCATTCACTGCAGAGGATCCATTGGTGAGCAAGTGATGTAAAGTTACATTTCTCCAAATCTTTTCCAATGAAACAAACTCATCTACATCTTGGACTTCCTGAGGGTAAGTACATTTTCAGCAAAAATTTAGTTTTTGGTTAACCCACTCCTTTAAGCTTCTGTGTCATATTTTCTTATCTGTATTGTTGTACTTATTAAAAAGCTTAATCTATGTTAAGGAAACCAGACCCCTCATGACAGCACAGCTGACTTAATGACACACAGGAAAATCAGCAAAACTGGTCAGCTCTGTGAGTCTCTCAATAAAGCTAGTTGACAGTCATACTATGTAATGCAAGAATAGTGAAGAAAGGTTGACACAGATGAACAGATGACGACAAATGAAGGCCCTGTCCCAAATGACGCCCTTGGCCCTTGTGGTTTAAGGCGTCACAGTTTGGCTGGTTAGCTTGGCCCAGTTAGACCCTGCTGGTCGATGTTGTAACTACACCATCTGGCTACAAAAATCAGGCTTCTTCATTAAAGGCAATTCAAAAATAGCCATGTTCTTTGACTATTTTTTGTAAGTACTTTAAACAAATATTTCATTACATTAGAGTAAATGTTTGACCAATGCCCTATTTTTTCTGACTTTTGAGGACAAATGGGACACCCCATGAACAAGCATGAGTGAAGTCCACATCAGCATTTGGGACAGGACTAAGATGTGTTATGTAAACAAACGTAAACTGCCATGCATATATGGGCATATTTGTAGATGTGCTTGTGCATGTTGTTGTGTGCATAATGTTGCATGATGGATTTGTTTACCAACCTTTCCTGCTGCATCCGGCGCGGCTTTTTTCTGCAGCAGAAGATTGGCCACTTCCAACTGCCCATACTTTGCAGCCACATGCAGGGGAGTGAACCCTTTCTGTGGACGTATATGCGGGAACAAAAGAAGGAGAGAGAACAAAAAAGGGTGAAAAAGATCCATAATTTTGTTATTTTCATTAGGACATAGTCAGCTTAAAGGATAAAGAACTATGCACAAAAACCACATATAGTGGGGGCCAGAAAATGTTTTTGACAGAAGTCTCTAATGTTCACTTTGTCTCTTTATTTATTTAATCAAAAAAGCAGCCATTACTCCAGTCTTCAGTGTCACATGATCCGTCAGAAATCATTATAATATGCTGATTTGGTGCTCAAAAAACATTTCTTATTATTATCAATGCTGAAAACAGTTGTGCTGCTTAATTTTTTATTTTTTGGAAAACGTGAAAAACATTTTTTTTTCAGCATTATATGATGAATAGATAGTCATTTATTCTTTATTTATGTAGTCATTTCATCTTTTTTAAAATTATAAATGTCTTTACTGTCACTTCTGATCAATTTAATGCATACTTGCTAAATAAAAGTATCCATTTCTTACCAAAAAACTTGTAGTGACTCCAAACGTTAATGTATCTTTTCTTCATTTTACATCATAACTTCTTTGGTTACATTTTTCCTAAAGTCCTAAAACTTTGCTAACATCCACATTAAATTAGATTTTAAATTCCAAATGTTTACTGTGGTCTCAGACTTATGAGCCCCACTATATGTGATCACACAGTACAAACACATACACACCTTAGTTGCTGCAGAGAGGGATGTTCCCTGCTCCAGCAGGAGAGCTGCTATCTCCTGATGACCCTCACGGGCGGCGAGGTGGAGAGGGGTGTAGCCGGAAGTGGTGGCAGCATTGGGTAATGCCCCCTTCTGCAGCAGCTGCTGCACAATCTCCACTTTTCCCAGACGGCTTGCTATATGCAGGGCTGTTTGGTCATCCTAAAAATTGTCATTATGGTAATAGAGCGTGAAAGAGAGAGACAGTGATGAGAGGCAAATCTGAAAATCTCATTTATCATCTGTCATGTTCTAATTATGTGTGTGGTGGGATGTGGACAGTGGTTTATTCAAATTTGAGCTAAGGTGTGCGTCTCACCTTGGCTTTGATGTCCACTTTAGCACCACTCTGTAGCAGGTATCTGACAACATCAACCTGGCCGGCCCTTGCTGCCATGTGCAATGCTGTTTCACCTCTCTACAACACAACATTTGATGAAGTGCATGTGAGATGTAAGCTTTAATATATTAATACAAAATTAATTTTAAACTCATCAGTACATAATAATATTGTGTGATGGAGTATTTCTAATGAAAAAAAAAAAATCAAAGAAGTCTATGAATTTTATTATGCATAAAAAATTTATCAAAACTTTAAATTAAATAAAAATATATACATTTTATATTGATTTTCTCATTCACACTACAATCACATTTACATATATTAAGAACAATTATAATTATAAAAATGATATTAAGAAACCATTTTAATTTAAAATATCCACCTCAAAATAATAATTAACAGTTATTTATAGTGAAATAATTTGAGTCTTCGCAAGGCCACGTTCAAAGGCAGACAAGTTTTTCTTTCATTCAACATTCATAGTTTGTTGTTTTTAATGCTTGACAAAATTAATCAAACAAAATATGTCAATCCAGTCACATAAAATATCAATAAATTTTTGTATGTTTTCTATTTTTTCTATAATATATAATTTTATTTATATAATTTAATTTGTGTTAATTTTTCTTGATGTTGCACAATGCCATATATTAACAAATTAATATATTCCATGTCTGACAGAATGTTTAAGATGATAGAAACGCATTTACAAAGGTAAAAGTTTCACAGAATGACTCACAGTACATATAATGTCTCTTTGAGTGACACTGTACTTAAAGAGGAAACGTACCACATTGGTGGTGTTGGGTGAGGCTCCATGATGCGTGAGCTGTTTCACTATGTTCTCATGACCCATAAATGCAGCAACATGGATGGGCGTCAACCCCGACTAAAACAACCAAACAAAACACAAACATACTTTGAAACATATATAAAACTGCTTGTCCTATTACATTTCCCAAGCATATACACTAAAACTGTGAGCATTAAACTCCATTCAAAACTAAACGATGAATTTCTAGTGCTTAGTTTTTCTAGTGATAATTCCATATCACACAAGTTATCAATAAACATTCAATCCACATATTTATCTCGTACCTCAGTGACTGCCTGCAGTGATGCCCCATGTTTCAGCAGCAGTTCCATCACCTTCACTCGGTTCTTCTTGCAGGCAATATGAAGAGGTGTGAAACCGTTCTGTTGATGTAGACACAAACATGCTCTGCTTGACTGAGATGCCACCACACCCACCTTTACCAGAGGTGGGTAACCACAAAAACCTTCCTCTGGTTGAATAAACCCACTGTATTCAGTAATAAAGCTGTGAGTCACTGTTCAAATGAACTGTTTTAAACTTTACATCAAGCTATTTCTGAGGTTCAGGTTTATTTTTAAACTGTCCTGAGAATGTCTCAGTATTACAATGGCAACACGCTCGCATTGTGTCAGCCTCCCTGCCACAACTGTTTTTGTCTTTGTGAAGCGAGAGATTAACATTCATACAGCTACATCTGTTAACAGAGGAAAATGAACCTAGTCACCCCAAGAAAGAAATGCAGAGAGAAAGGAAACAGCGTGAGGGTATTTTCTGAGTTTGAATGTGTATGGCTCTCTTTTTCTCTCTGCTCTCACCAGGGCTTTAGCGTTAGGGTTGGCCTTCTTGTCTACGATGACTTTGGCCACTTTGTAATGTCCGCAGTGAGCAGCCACGTGCAGTGCCGTCAGGTAATCGTTGGTGACATCATCCACGGGAGCATTGTGCTGAAGGAGCAGCTGGACACAGTTCAGGTGATCCCCCTGGGCCGCCATGTGCAGCGGAGACAGACCGTTCTATAGCAAACCAAAAAATAGCAATGGACATTTAACAAGATTAATGGAAACAGATAGTGGTTAATCAATTAATTTTTTTTTTTGATGGCAAAATGCAATATCTTGGCTGATGGTCGCCATAAAACTAATACACTTAATTTAATTTTAAAGATAGAAAACAAAATAAATAGGTAAAAAAATATGTCCTTTGCTGCAACTAAATTTAAATTCGTTTTACATAATATTTACTAAATTTTAAACAAATGATTTGAAAAAAAATTGAATTTGTTAAAACATGCAAAAGATTGCTTTAGCAACTTCTTCATTCTGTAATCTTATCTGGAAAATGAAGGTAACACTAATTTTACAGTATCAGTAAATATGCCATGAAGATGCTGGCATTGTCAAAATACAAGCTTCCAACACTTATCGGCCGAAAAGAAAAAAAATGATCACATATGCAGATATTTAGAAAATGCCAAATATTGATCAATATATGAGCCTTGGCAATACATCAGTTGACTACTAGTGATAGATTAAAATAAAAGTGCAGTCACATTAATGAATTTTGGTGAGCCAAAAACGGTCCATTGTCTATTGTCAATAGTGTAGTGATGTATATAAAGCACAGCTCACAAAGAAGTCACTTTCAAACCAAGCAACTGTCTGTTGCTCATGCTGCAAATTCACTTGACCAACTGCTTGGGGAAATCTTTCATCCTCACATGAAATTCTTGATTGCATTGATTTCTATTGAATTTACTAGATTCGCCTATGAAAATTCATCAAACAATGGTAAATGTGACCACACATTAATGACAAACAAATTATTTTGAGGGTCTTGTAAGTGTGACAGGAAATTCCTCTTGCTTTGGCACCTAAAGCCACAATCTATGGTGAAATATCAGTTTCCTGCAGTCAGGAGACAATTTGATAGCAAAGAGAGAGACAGGAAGAGGGCCTGATGACCATGTCGCGTCTGTAGAAACAATGGCCACATGGGGGCAGTCTTGTATGGAAGCATATGCAGAAATTATGGGAAAATTGGTGATCAAACATACTCACACACACATAAAAGGGGCAGAATTATTCTTGGGGTCAGAAAAGCAGTGGTCTTACTTTGGTCTTAGACAAGATGGGAGCTCCCCTGTCCAGCAGCATCTCAACAACCTGCTCATGCCCACTGCGTGCGCCGCAATGCAGAGGGGTTAAACCGTCCTATACACACACACAGACACATACGTACAAGCAAACACAAAGATAAAATGTTACATAATATTAAAAAGTACACTCTGAGATCATACTCTTAAGAACAGCTGATACAACAGACAAACCTCAGCACCTCCAGATGCTCCACTGACACTACATGCTGACCTGTTTAATATTTCTTGCAAAGCTATTCACTTTATGCAGTATAATATATTGCAGTTTACTTCTTTGGATCTTGCCTGAAAGTTACCTTTACCAATGTGCCTATGATGAAGACTTGTTTATTTATTTATTTAATTGTATTTATACATTTATATTTATTTTATTTTATGATTTTCGGTCACCAAATTGTATTGTTAACGTGACATGACATGTAGCCAAGTATAGTACCATACTTGGAATTAGTGCTCTGCATTTAACCCATCCAAGTGCACACACACAGCAGTGAGTAGTGAACACACACACACAGAGCAGTGGGCAGCAGTTGGGGGTTCAGTGCCTTGCTCAAGGGTCTCACCTCAGTCGTAGTATTGAAGATGGATGAGAGCTGTACATTCACTCCCCCCACCTACAATCCCTGCTGGTACCGAGACTCGAACCCACAACCTTTGGGTTGCAAGTCAGACTCTCTAGCCATTAGGCCATTGTGTGTCTATATAATAAACTGAAACTTGGTCTCATCTGTGATATCACTGAGGTCAAAGGGTGAGCAACTACGTATATATATAAATGTAGGAACATCCTAAGAAGCCACCTGACAATTTCCTTAAAGTGAAGCACACTGAAGCACAGCTTCATTTAGGCAACAACTCTCTTGTTATTCCTGTACAAATAGTATTTTGCCATATGTGTATTTTGGGGTTGGAAAGATATATTTATTAATTAATTATTTATTACATTCTAATATCAAAAGAATCAAAGAATCCTGAAAAAGTAAAATAAAAGTAAAAATGTTTCCACAAAAATATTAAGCAGCACTGTTTTAAACTTTGATAATGATAACAAATGTTTCTTGAGCACCAAATCAGCATATTTGAATGATATCTGAAGGATCATGTGACACTGAAGATTTGAGTAATGGCTGCTAAAAATGTAGCTTTGACATTACAGGAATAATTTACATATATAAATTATATATTAAAATAGACACCAGTTCTTTTAATTATTTCACAATATTACTGTTTTTACTATATTTCTGATCAAATAAATGCAGCCTTCTTTCAACATTAAAAAAATCTTAACAGCCCCAAACATTTGAATGGTAGTGTAATTTGTAGTTAAACTTGCAGTTAATTTGTAGTACAGCATGTGTTTATGTGTGTTTGTATGTGTGTGTTACCTTGGTCTTGGCATCAATTTTTGCTCCTCGGTCCAGCAGCAACTTAACCATGTTTCCATTCCCTCTCTTAGCCGCCACATGCAGTGGAGTGATGTCATTCTGTATGCAACCCACACAAACAGCATAAGACACACAGCCAGGTATATGAGCGACACAATCACAAATTACAATCCCACTTCACAGAGATTAAATCAAAATAACTAAGTATGAAAAAACAATAATATATATTTCTGTGACAAAATACAAAATATTCTAAATGGCATATGACATGCATTGTGACCATGTGCATGTGACCCTCAGGCTGAAGCAGATTCATACATGAGTTTGTTTGGACTGTGCCGGCCATATGACAGTTTAGAGAGTTCAGCCGGGAGAGCATTTGGCACATGTACACACACACATACATGTGAGCATGTTTGCTCACAAAGAGCCTTAGGCAGGTCATTTAGCTCATTCACCAAAACACTTATGGAGCATTTTAGGCTTCAGTCTGGTGACAATACTGTACAACATTAGTGCAATACTGCCCCCGTGTGATACTCAGAGGAACTACATGACCACAGTCATAATGAAACCAAGTCTAGTTGCATTTTGAATGGGAATCAGTGCACCTGAATGATCTATTCAAAAGTGTGGACTCCAAAGCATTTAGCATAAAGTCAAAGAGAAGATTTTAACAGATTATGGGGGACCGTTTGCCCTGTAATCTGTTAAAATTGGTCAATCGAAGCAGTAGATGGTGCTGTGATTTTACCCTTGCCATGAAGTCCACTGCTGCTCCTCTATTTAACAGTAGTGTTGCTACGTTGATGTTTCCATAGTGGGCAGCAATGTGGAGAGGAGTGAAACCGCTCTGATGAAAAGAAAGACAAAGAACAGAATGGTTAAAACAATTATTTAGCCCATTTAGCTACCTGTGCTTCCTTAGACATGTCTTTTTGTAAATATGGCTTCAGTTTGGGATTATCTGAAGACAGTGAGTTCTCTTACTACTAAATATGATCCTCTTACTACTAAATGATCCTCTCATTTTGAATATGAGACGTAGCTGTTTAAAGCAAGATGGAGGTGTCCTGCAGGCTGCATTGCAGCAAAGGCCTTCCAGTCATGGAGATTTCCATCTCAATTAGCCAATAATCCAACACAAAGCAGGTGGTGCTCAGCATAACCCTTCCCTGCCTCTGTTTGCGCTCTTATTTCCAAGGGAACGGGGCTCCACCCATTTTGAGGGGAATTATTGCAATTATTAGCCACAGGCGCAAATGGAAAAACAGCAGGGGTTTAAACATTTCCAGTTGCACACTAATAGACTATGACATTTACAGAACTGACTCTAGACTGCAGACAACACATACTGTTACCTATGGGGAGAATTGAATAAACATTCTCATAGATTATCGCGATACAGTCATCATGATCAATGCATTCAAATTTCTATTCACTCAGAAAACCCTTTACATGCTTATGCAGAGAATTATTTCCTGGGATGAGTTCATGGGCTTGGAACATTGTGCTTAGCTCTTTACATGTGCTTGTTACTGTTAGTTTGCAATTTGGCAATGTTCTCTATCATGCAAAACTGTGAACTATAATTCTATCCAGCCAAACTGATGTTGCTTGCCATGTGAGCAAATCTGACCATGCATTCTTTTTGCAACATTGCAACAATTCTAAACTGCAAGATTTCCAGCTGTTTCATTGATTTGTCTAAAGGCCCATGCACAAGCCCCAGGGAGGGAGGACTAAACAACCAGACCATCTCATCTCTGTAGCTGGCCAGCCGGGTTCCTCTTTCACAGCCAAACCAAATGAATACAATATCTAATGCTCAAATATATAAGGCTCAAAGGAACAACATGCTACTTCCAGTTAGTAATAAAAGCTGGTTAAAAGGTCAAAATTAAACTGTACCATTTTCTCACTTCTACTGTAGCAGGATTTGCCAGTGAAGTGACCTTTGCATTATGTAATACTAATTCTAATGAATTCTCTTTGAATCTCCAAAATGCCAGATGGACTTTCACAAATTTTTTAAACCTTTTCACACAGTCCAAAATACTGTACTGCAGTTATTCTTGTTTGGCATAAGAAAATCAAACCAGATAATTTTATAATAGTTAAATAGTAAATAGTTTTGTTGCAAAAACAAAAAGTTTGTGAATATTTTATGCTATATTTTATACTGTTATAGGTCTTAAAGACTCCATGAAATGGTTTGACAAATGCCATTTTAATTCCTGCAATATAGACTCTTTAAATTATTAAATTCTAGGTATTTCTTCCACAATCAATTGATGATTGAATAATGAAGGTGGTGGCAATTATAATTTAAAGGGACACATCAATATTTTGGAGGACTAGATCAATGAAATGAAATAATGAAATTAAATTAAATTAAATTGTAGTTGCCTAAAGTTAAAACTCCTATTCTGATATCACGGTGTCCCCTTAAATGTGAGCTATAGCAACGATCATGTTTGATCTACATATTGTCCGGCAAAAGTACCCTAGATCTAGTGATATTTTAATTCACATGTTGAGGTAACCTTTTGTGAAAACCTCTCTACAAAGAGCAATATCTCATCAATGGGCTCTAAAAACTGAAACACTTGAATTAACAGTTTATATTCACCAATATCAACATCATTGCCAGCAACCACACAAAACCACTGACACAAAACTCTTATAACCAATCCGAAAGCTGCATGTTGAGATGTGGAACCCTGGCCTGTAGCTGCAGAAATCAAAGCATGCTTCAGCCCTCCACCCAAAGCATGATCTCATTCTTCCATCCCCAGAGAGGGAGGGCACATAGCCAATAGGAGAAGAGAAAGCAGGAAATTATACAAAAATAGAGATGGTACAACAAGGATGGGAGCAACACTAGGGGGTGTTCTAGGCAAAGCAGGGGTGGAGGTGGGGGTCAACAGCTTAATGTTTATCGTGGGTATACCTCTGTCGTTCTATTCACCATCATCTATGTTGAGACGTGAGGAAAGGAGAGAATGGGCAGTTAGTGAACACTGACAGGTAAACGAAAACAAAGAAACAAAAGACACATATCTAAAAACAGGACTAAGTGTGGGTGAGTGAGTTAGAGGAAAAAATAACAAATCACAATTAAAAGCAAAACATATACAGTATATGATAATCTGCTCTTGCTTACATTATAAAAGAAGGTGTGTGCATAAGAAATACATTTATTTGACCAGCATGATTCTGTTTCAGTAAAAACCTTGGGATTTAAATGAAATAAGTGAGACACAGGCAGTGGCGGCTTTTCACAAAACCATAGGGTATGGCAGTGGCATACATCGCATCGGTGGGCACACCACTATGCACTGAAATGGCACAATTTCAGTGGCACACCACTAAGCACTGATATATAGGAAAAATGATAGAAATACAATTAAACACTGCATCATCAGAGTTGGTAATGTGGCTTTAACAGACACTAAACATTTTATGAAAATCAAGATCAAATGGAGTTGGTTTTTCAGACGGAGATCTGTGTTTTGTCTGTCATTAGAATGACTGTATCTGAGGCAGCAAGCGGCGACACACCGGCACCAGAATTAGTGCTATTTCGGTGAAAAGGGATTAGAGAATGGTTGAATACACTCAAATTAAAATGCTACTTTTAAATGTTGCATTATTTTATCGATATATTTAACCCATATTTATCCCATATTTAACATTAACAAAACATAAAACATTAATGGAGCATGCAAACAAGACATAAGGACAATAGACTGAAGAAAAACCATATAGGCCTAGATAACGAGACCAGATAACGAGATTTTTTTTTTTTACCATTTGTAACAATTTTCTATATTTAATACAATATTTATAACTGAACACGAATCAATGAACTAAATTTCGTGACTATGGCACGTACTGTCTTGAGATCGAGCTGAAACAGAACAAAAGTAAAGGCCTATTGGCTACAACTAGACGGCAAACGCTAAGACCCTTCTCCGCTCTTCAGACACACACACAAAAAATATTTGCCTTTACAGACATAGTGTTTCAGTAAAGAAAACGCTGCACTTATTCAAACATCAGTTATTTATTTACCCTTGCATTGCGAATAAGCGGAGATCTGTCTCCAGGCTGTGCGAGGCACTTAATTCTGAATGGAGGCGGGGTGGAGTTACGAGGTTTCGTTGACAGTTTGAGGATCAAATGACGTTACGAGCTTTAGTGACAAGCTCTTTTGAATGCTTGTCATTGGAAAAATATTTGTGAAACCCTCAGACATAAGAAAGACCAATAGCACTGATTTCAAATAATAATAACGAAATAAATAGAGATATGAAGTTTGGATAATTTTCCACTGCACATCTGACTGGGCTACGGTATGGCGACTGCCATACTCTGCCATACGGAAACGCCACCCCTGGACACAGGAAAATTGTGAGTAATGACTGAACATGTTTGCAAGCATCTTTCAGACAGACCTTGGACTCGACATCCGCGTTGTGGTCATTCTGAAGGAGCAGAGCTGCAGATTTGGTGTCATCCTTGCGGGCTGCGATGTGGAGTGCAGGCAGACGGACTTTACCTTTCGTGTCGTTCTCTAACAACAGAGAAACCACCTGATCATGACCCTGCTGTAGGGCTACGGCTAACGGCGTAAAGCCATCCTAAAGAGAGGAAGAGAATCAGGCTTAATTATCAATTCATATACCTCATTTTACATTTATTACTGTATTTTGTTTCACAATATATACAATACCATTTGTAAACACTACTCTAAACTAAAGGTTTGGGGTCAGTAAGACTTTTTTGAAAGAATACTTTTATTCAGCAGCTATGCATTAAATTGGTCAAAAGTTAAAGTAAAGACATATACTTTATTAAAAAAAAATCCTGAAAAAACTATAATGGTTTCCACAAAAAAAAAGAAGCAGAACAACTTTTTTCAACATTGATAATATTAAGAAGTGATTACCAAATCAGCATATTAGATTGATTTCTAAAAGGTCATGCAACACTGAAGACTGAAGTAATGGCTGCTGATAATTCAGCTTTGCTGTCACAGAAATAAATTACATTTTAAAATATTTATTTTAAATTTCAATAATATTAAATAATATTATGCAATAATTCACAATATTACTGTTTTACTGCATTTTTGTTCAAAATACAGCCTAAGTAAGCATAAGAGACTACATTCACAAACATTAAAAATCTTACCACAAAACTTTTACCGTTATATATATTTATATATTGTGAGAAAAAGATATGTGAGGAGTAGGAAGCACTTATCTGTGAACTGCTCAAGGTCGCTCTGGCTTACCTCAGTAATCAATAAAATACTCACACACGCGCACGCACTCACACACACACACACAAACCTCTGTGGCAATGCTCTGGCTGGAGTTGTTCTCCAGGAGGAAGCACACCACATCCTGATGGTTTTCCTGTGCAGCCATGTAAAGTGGGGTAAAGCCATTCTGAAACAAACATTACATTAATGTTATATATACATTTGAATGATTTCTTTAATTTTACTACGGCACAGATACAGAAATGGGACATTGATGTTATCATAATTCTCTACCATACATTTAATACATTAAAAAACAACAACTGGATATCTAGCTAATTAGGTGATATCCCCCCACCTTTTCATCCCCTATTTTATCCTTTTTTAATACTGAAAAATGTTATAAAGTTATATTTCAAGATGCCCTATAATATATATAAACTGTAAACATAAATATTTTAGAAGCCATGAAAAGGACACTTGAGACTTGATTTGAAATACACAAAATTCAGAGTCTCATATGTTCTACTAGACAGAGCTACACTCTGCTGAGCAACCCACCCCCTCCTCTCAGCAAAGAAAAATAAATCAGAAGTGCTCCTGTGGCTCAATGGTAGAGCATTGCATTAGTAGTACAAAAGGTTGTGGGTTTGATTCCCAGGGAACACACATACTGGTAAAACATTTATAGCCTGAATGCACTGTAAGTCGCTTTGGATAAAAGTGTCTGCTAAATGCATAATTAATTATAAATTAAAGTGAAAAGTTTTATTTTAATTACTTCATATGCATGAAACATGAACCATTGCTGCAGTAACCAGACAGTCAGGTTGCCATGGCAAATCTGTCATTCTTAATATTTTTTAAATCATCTAAGATTTCCCTGGAGAGGACAGACCCCCATTACACCCCCTACTATATCCTCAGTGACCCTGTTCCCATGGCAACACAGAGATGCTGACAGTGCAGGTAGGAGAGGGCAATACTTTGTGATGATGGAGCATCAAGCAGAGACACAGACTCAGGCCCCTTCATCATCATGTTTATCTATTCTATGTCTTAGCATTTTATCTTTGAGTTCAAAATCTGGTTCTTTTCATTTTATGTGTAAATGTCTAATTCAAATGGTGTTAGTTTTGTGATGGCAAACAGTAACTTTCTTGATCCTTTGACACAAAAAGCCATGTAGACAAACTCCCATGCAAAAAAAACAACAAAAAAAAACACTCTTATTCCATTTACTGAAACTAAATCTGTAAAAATGCATCATTCAGACATACAGCCATAATCACATTAATATATGACTGCTCACATGAACAAACATCAATTCTGTAATAATACTGAGCAACAATCCAATATGCAAAAATCGACTATATATTTTTAAAGGTCATAGAGAGGATAAAAATAATAATGAAAAATCAAATTATGACTTATTTGGCACAAACGAATCTGATCTGCCACAAAAATGACACCATAAAAGGCTGCAAAGGTATAGAATATGTCCCTTTTTACCAGTGTTTACATCTGTATGTACTGTGTTGAGCTCAGTGCAGGAAATAGTATTATTACTGGCACTCTAGTAATTTAGGTGGCCTTCATAACTTACTGAGCTCAGGTTTAAAGCAGTGTGTGTGTGTGTGTGTGTGTGTGTGTGTGTGTGTGTGTGTGTGTGTGTG